TACCTCAGCCTCCTTAGTGGGATTATAGGAGTGTGGCACTGCACTTGGCTTGCTAGCTTTCTTTTTAAATTATTTTTATTTATTTATATTTTGCTGTGCTGGGGATCAAATCCAGGGCCTCATGCATTCTAGGCAAGCACTTTACCGTGGAGCCATATCCCTACGCCCACTAACTTTCTTTTGATTAAAGTTAAAATGCCATATTGTTTTCCATCCTTTTACTTTTAACCTATTTTAATGTATTTATATGGTACTTGTATTAAAATTGTATTTTAATCTGTTTATATGGTATTTATATTAAAATTGGATCTCTTGTTGTTATCATATAGTTGAGCCTTCCCTTTTTTAATCCATTCTGATAGTTTCTTCCTTTTAAAAGGTGTTTCCAGGCACAGTGGTAGACACTGTAATCTCAGTGACTAGGGAGACTGAGGCAGGAGAACCACAAATTTGAGGCCAGCCTCTGCAATTTAACTAGACCTGTCTCAAAATAATACAGAGGGGTTAGGGATCTGGACAGTGGTAAAGAGCTTCTGGGTTCAATCCCCATTACCCCAGCCCCCCAAAGAGGTGTTTAAAACATTTTCATTGAAGTGATTATTAGTATGGTTGCTATTGTTTGTATTTTATTTTTCCCATCTTTTTTCTTTTCTATCCTCCTCTCTCCTCTATTTTGGCCTTCTTTTTGGCTTAATAGATAAATTTTTATGATTCAGTTTATGATCCAATTTCGTTTGTTAGTTTATTAGACATAATTCTTTGCTTGTCATTTTTATAAAGTGTTGTTTATAAAAGTGTTGTTTAAGGGCTTCTGAGAGACATCTCAAATTTGTAACAGTCTACTTTCAAGTAAGAACATGCTACTTCAGAGGATGTAGCTCAGTGGTAGAGCACTTGCCTAGCATGTTGGGGAGCCTCTGAGTTCCATACCCAGCACCAAAAAAAAAAAAAAAAAGTAAAGAAAAATCACTTTATGTACAGTGTAACAAGCTTACAAAAATATATACTTGTAGTGGACCCAGTGGAGCATGTGACTCAGGAAGCTGAGGCAGGAAGATCAAAAGTTTGAGGCTAGCATCAGCAACTTAGCAAGACTCTGTCTCAAAAAATAAAAAGGATTGGGGATGTAGCTCAGTGGTAAAGCCCCTCTGGGTTCAATCCCCAGTATCCCCCCCAATTTATTTATTTATTTATTTATGGCTCCTTTGTGCTATTGTTCCACATTTTCTTCTGTTATGAATTGCAAAATAAATTCTTATTTTTTAAAAATAGTCAATTACTTAATTAATTTTAGTACTGGGAATTGAACCCAGTACTACTGAGTTTTATCTCCAGGCCTTTTTATTTTTTATTTTGGAACAATGTCTTGCTAAGTTGCTAAGGCTGGCCTTGAACCTAGATTCAGTCTTCTCACCTCAGCCTCCCAAGTCCCTGGGATTTTAAGTGTGAACCACCATACTGACTCTTTAAAAAATCTTTTTTAAAAAGCAACTTTACTGAGATATAATTCACATACAGTTTACCCATTTAAAGTGTATAAATCAATGGCACATATTCAAGGACTTGTACTGACATCACCACAATCAATTTTAGAATACTTTCAATACCCCCCAAAAGCAAACATGTGCCTGCTGGTCACTTACATTTTCTCCCAAATCCTTCAGCCCTAAGCAACCACTAATCTGCTTTATTTCCATAGACTTGAAGTTCTATCAGTTTTTGTATTTTGAAGTTCCATTACTAGATGTATAAATGCTTAAGATTGTCATGTCTTCTTAATTAATTGACCCTTTTCACTATGAAATAATCTTCTTTATCATATTAATATTCTTTGCTCTGAAATCTACTTGTGTGATATTATTTTAGCTGCTCCAATTTTCTTTTGATCTTAACTCCAGGAAAAGTGAAAATATGTACAGGAGTGAAAAATTATTGCAATTTACTACATGGCTAAACCCTAAATAGTTTATATAATCATGTTAATGTAAATACTGAATATTGATCTATTTTAACTTAAATGACAATGTAATAATGGAAAAATGAAGGGAAGTTATGTGTGTGTGCACGTATGCTAATAGGAAAACACTAAGAAAGGAGCTAAATCTTTATATTGCATACTGGGAGGCTAATAAATATTTCCTAATTTGGTGGGAAAACAATAGCCACACAGCATGTTATTTAGCAATATGGAGGTCAATGTCAAAACTACAGCCCAAATAGGGATTGGCAAACTTTCTGCATGTAGTCAGATAATAAATATCTAGGGCTTTGTTTGTCATATGGTCTTGTAAACTGCTCAACTCTGCCCTTAAAGTAGGAAAGTATAGACAATATGGGCAAGGCTATTCCAATAGAACTTCATTTGCCATAACAGGCAGCTGGCCAGATTTGGCTATTTACTAACACCTACGCTAAAATAATTGAAAGTAGTTGAACTTAGAAGAAAAGAAAATAGGGATGAGGTGGGACTAGGAAATGCTCTGGTCTCAACAGATCTTTGCATAATAGGATGCCTCTTTAAACTGTGAACATGTGTTACTTTGCTTAAAATAAAAAGAATCAATAAAGAGTAAAAAAAAAAAAAAAAAAAAAAAAAAAAAAAAAAAAAAGCCCCTGACAGGACTGTCTGCCTCTTATGTGAAAAGAATGGAGAACTGATTATACAAAATTACTCAGTAGGGAGCCCAATATCCTGGATAATGTGAATTTTTGAATTGCTGTATTGAGTGTATTCTCCCATTGCCTTAGGGATACTGTAATGAACAGCCACTCAGGAACCTCAGCAATTTAGTGAGGCCCTGTTTCAAAATGACTAAAGGGCTGAGGATACAGTTCTGTGGTGGAGCACTCCCTGGATTTAATTCCTAGTACTGAAAAAAAGAGTTGTTGTTCTTCTTTGGCCATGGAAAGCCATGAGTATAAAAGAAAGTGATCTGGAGAGCTCATACTACACAGTGTCATTTTACTGATGTTCTCTGGGTGAAGAGCCAGTACAAAATCCAATTAACCTGCAGCAATGGGGGGTGGGGGTTTGTTCCCCCAAATTATAAAAACAAGAAAACTCAAGACAAGGAAACCCAATAAGACCAGTGATTTCAATGGTAGGGCAAACTGGCCAATACCAGGAGAGTTAGTGAGCACTGGATCTCAAAAGTGATGATCTACTGATGCCCTGGGTGTCATCTGATGGGAATGTTCAGTGGAACAGGTGACTCACTGAAATGCATTGTAAATACTGGAGCAAACCGTGCTGCAGAGATATAAGCCACCAGATGGCCTTCTATGTGCTCCAGAGCAGCATGGCAGTGGAGATGACCACCTCTGCCACAATGGGAGACAGAGCCAGGGACGGCTGCTGGCATTCCAGGAGCTACCTGCCTTTTTCTTTGTGACTAAGGCCACGTGGCTACTTTTACTTGCAGGGGAAGCTAATTATTATCACTGTGGAAATACTGCAAGATTCTGTCTTTTGTTTCCAGATGTATGTACTTGTGTCTAGGTCAATAATCATAGAAAGAGAGGATTATGTAGCATTTCCCAGCTTGCCAGGCCCTTGGCTCTTGATCTGCCCTTTGCCATGAACATTTCATAACATGTGTTAAGATGTTTTACACAAATGATAAGATTTATTAATGTGGACATTTAAGGGGTAAGAAATTGAAGAAATAAACAAGGGTATTTTTTTCCATTATACATCAGTATAAGTCCTGTCCATCAGAAGAACATTAATGATGGACAGTTTCACAGAAATTTTTATCCATATTTCTTTGTCAGCCCTGTACTTCTAATCCCAACAAGCAACTTGGGAAAGTGTTTTAAAGGTTGAATAAATGTGACATTGATTGTTTGCTTGTTTTTTAAAGATATAATGGGTGATTGCAAAAGTTAGATTTATTTATTGTATAAACTTGGGTCCAAGATGAAATTTTTAATCAGCTTATGAACAATCATTGGTAAGTTGGATAATATAGAAAATACTTTTTTCCACACAATAGTTGCTGATGCCTGTCAATCCATTAACCATTTATGTATTATTAATAAAATTACTGAGGCTAGCCTCAGTTTCCCGAGTTGCTGGGATTTGGGGCATACACCAACGTCCTGGCTCTTTTTAGCTTCTTAACCCACTTCTAAGAATACTAGCTGTTGAGAACTGGGCAACTCACTCATTCTTTGAGCCTGTTTTCTCATTTATAAGTTGGAGATAATATCATGATACCAACTTTACAGATTGAGAGGATCAAGTGAGCTAATATGTGAAAATACTTCAAACAGGTTCATGCACCAAAATTTTTATGATATTTGTTACCATTAAGCCAGAGGTCATTTAGTTAATTACCATGATAATGGTTAAAAACAGTATTCTGCAAAATCTTCCCTTCCTCACTGCCTAAAATGCCATTTGTATTCACAGTGAACTCTTAATAAGCTTGTTCTGAAACCATTTGGATATGTGCTATCAGTTTAATATCTTCAAGAACACTGTTCCTAGAAATGTTGCAAATCTCTCAAAATGCCCTCCTCCAAATATGAAATAGGCTGACAGGTTAAAACAGGGCATGAGATCATCCAAGAGATGAGAACTGGTAATAACGCTGCCATCTTATCAGAAAAGGTTAAAAAGAGACCTCCAATCTCCAATTATAAGATGTTTAGAACATATTACATTTTGTCAACCTAATAAAGAAAATAAAATTTAATTTCCCAAAATTTTATTAAAAATGGAATCTTTCATCAGATATCTTATTGCAAAGATGAAATCTCACAGCATAGCAGTAAAGTTTGCTTTAATAACAAACTTTAAGCAAATACAAATTCTTTTTGTAGTTTTCAAACTTGAGAGGTTTATGTCATTTAAAAAGAAATGCTGTTTTCTTTTTTGCCATGAGTCATGGACAAACATTTTTCCACAAGAATTTTTGCTCATTAAAAAAGAAAAGGGGAGGGGGAAGGGGTAGCATTCAATTAAGTCTTTGAAAAATTAGAAAAACAATTTCAAGTCCATTTCTTAAAATCTTTATTTGGTTCCCTTTTGATGTAAAAACTGCCATTTTTTTCCTAAGTTTTCCCTTAAAACATATTAAAAGTAACCACCCAATCATCTATAGTAGTTTCATGGTATACACAAAGTTCAAATGAAAAGGGAACTTTCAGATATATTCTATGATGTACTAAAATACTTTTGATTATGGCTACATTAACTGGATATTTTTTAGTTAAATTTTCTCCTTAGGTAGTACTTCTGGATTTAGAAAATGCTGAGGTAAATGTCTAGGAGCAGAATATGTCTATGTGGCACTTCTTTCCCAGTTGAAAATATTTTATAGTTACACTGAACATGAATGACCAATATATTCTAAATCCAGTACCATTTCCATTAACATTATTTCTTTGGCAAAGGTTCCCCAGGCATTTTTGCATACCTACTGCTGTCAGACTTGGAGGGTAATGGAGGTATAATAGCATTATTAACTTTTTTGCTTAGTTGCATAAGAGCTAAACAGACGTGTATCCAGTGATACAGAAGTTCAATGACAGTATTACCAAATTTCCATACTTCAATTCGGGAATGACCTGCATCAAGGAAAAAAAAAAAACAAACCCAAGTTAGTGTGACTAGGTTTGAAATTTTATAATTAAAATGATTAAATTCCAATACTATGATTAAAGTTCATTAGATACATTTGGAGTCAAAACCATAGCAAAATCTTACTTAAATATGTAATTACAAGAATATGGATAGATAACATTTTGATATATACAGACAAAGGAATACTGCACAGCAACAGTTAACAATTAAACATTAATAGACAGCTCAATCTCAAAAACATATTGAGCCCAAAAAGTCATAGAATATTATATTTGTATATAATTTAAGAAGTTTAAAAATCTGTAAAATAGTTCACAAGGATGTAGAAAAAAAGAAATCATGCATGAAACTGATAAATACCAAATTCATAATAGTGTAATGAGAAAAGAACAAGATCAGGGAGAGATAGAGAGCATCAACTGTTCTCTATGTTTTCTATCTTTAAAACTGTCTGACTCAAAACATGGCATAAAGTTAAGGTTGGGTATAGAATATAGCTTTGTAATAATCACACAGGTATTAGTCCCTAATTAAAAATTATTTTTAAATATACAGTTACTCTTCACAGATTTTTAAAGTTGTTAAATTGAAAATTATTAAACTGCCATTCATAAAAAATATTTTTTCTAGGAGTCAGTAACTAATATTCAGACAGAATGGTCCAGTGGAAAGAGTATGTACTTTAGACTTGAGCAAATCTGGATTCCAATTTTGATACTACTCCAACTAATTCTGTGACCCTAAGCAGGTCATTTAATTGTTCTAAACCTAAGTTTCTTTTTCTGAAAAATTGTGGTAGTACCTCAGGATTTTTATAGGATTAATAAGAAAATATATACAAAGATCTATCACAGAGGTATCTCCCGCTCCCAGGTCTGTTTTATTTTCATTATTCATAGTTAACTCAGTGTCTAAACCAATAAAGAATTGCTTATTGAATTGAATAAACCATTAAATGTACTTCTAATTAAGAGCTTTAAATATAAGGTCTTCTATCTCATAACTTATCTATAATAATGACAATTACCCATTAGGATTTAAAAACAGAACACTTTATTTCCCTGTCTTCTACCAATACAAGGAACAAGTTTCCCTAAATTAGGTTTAGCTTTCCTATAGTTTTGAAGGTACTATTACAACAAAAGTTACAATATTTGAAAAGAAAGGGACATAAAATGTGGAAAACATTCACAAGTCTCCATTTTTATCTGAAGCTGACTTAAAACGTGAGTTCAATTAATTTTCAAAGATTCCTTTTTCACACACACATGCAGGCACTGTCTTTCCTCATTCAACTGTAAGTGTTCAATAAATGTTGAGTTGAAATAACATTAAAGAATAATTTAATTTGGTTTTTCAAATACTAAAAATTTTTCCAGATTAGAGCTCAATAACATTAATGACAATTATGAATAAAAACAAAACCAGATGCTAGTCATGAAAACACATTAAAAATATCTGATACATTTCATTTAATGGGCAATATTAGACCAATCAAAATACATACTTGAAATATTTAGGGTGCATTTGTAATAACTGATCTTTCTTTGTACTAATTAGCTTCCTGGAAACTTTATAAGGTAATGCTACTTTGATCACCTTAATGTTTGAATGTTATGATTAAAGTTCACCGTTTGGCACTCCTAAAACCAGTCCTGATTTTCCAGATAAAACAGCTCTGCTGCTCCCCACAGCTTTATTCTACCTTTCCCGAATCCATATTAAGAGCTTTGTTCCACCCATGCAGGCCTCAGTGTTCTTAGTTCAACATCCAAATGAACAGATCCCTGTCTACAGCCATTATGAAGCTTTTTGCCATCTCCATGGTGATTTAAGGACATGCTGATGGGGAGAGAGGTCGCTCCCTTTCACAAGCCCCGGTTGCTTATTTCCTGTCTTATTGTTACCAGAGACAAAGCTCTGAACCCATTGGGAGGTGGTTCTTGTTTCCTGTCTTTTCCAGAGATTGATGCCCTAACAGCTGGCTCTAATGATTCTCTAAGGATGTCTCCTTCGCGCTGCTCGGTTCCCCGTTGACGGTTGAGCGCTATTGCCCTCTGGTGGTGATTAGGTGACAGCTCTTTGCATGTTGGCAGAGACAGCTTATTCGTACAAACTTAGAAATTTTCACGCAGAGGTATTACTTTTATTTCTTTTATAATCATAAAAGATTAAGGGAGTTTTTGCTTTTCCTTGGCAAAGATTATAGTAAGTATTTTAAAAAATAATTATCTTTTAATTATAGGCAGACACATATCTTTATTTTATTTTTATGTGGTGCTGATGATCAAACCCAGTGCCTCATGAGTGCTAGGCAGGCGCTCTAGCCACAATCCCAGCCCCTATAGTAAATGTTTTAATACATCCAAGCTATAAAGATTTCTAGGTCAAACCTTTGAATCTGTTCAGGGATCCATTCAGAAAACTTTTATTATAGTATTTTTGCAGGTTTTAGTTTAATCAAAGTTTTAATTGCATAGGGAATTTATTATGCTGGAAACACTAGGTTATAAAAAGGATGTTTTAAAATTAAAACTCCATTTATGAATTACTGCATTAACACTGGATTAATTAATTTAAATCCTTTGGGGATTATAGACAATTAGCAAAAATGGGCAAAGCAAAAAGAATGAAGTATGTAAGCTTCAGGTTTGAAAGCTAGTTTGTAACTGCTCCTTTCAACTACCAACTAACTCATCAGCAGCAGCTTTTCTTGAATGCTCCTCTCCTTCATCATTAGTTCTTTTAGTTTTAGTTCTTTTATTTCTATTGATTTACATGCCATAAATCACTCAACATTAATGCTGCACTCAATGAAGGGAAGGTCCATACAATAATATATGTGTATGCAAATTTCAATAGTTTTTATGTAGGCAAGGAACTTATGTTTGCCAAGAAGCTGACCACTTAATCTGTTTCTGTTAATTTAATGTGGTCCCAAACCCACTGTATGGTGCTGCCTCCCAGGCATATCAGGAAAAGAATCAAAGTTAAATGGAGGAGGTAAAAACACCTTATTTCTTGAGTTTATCAAAGTTTGGGTGGAAGTTTTTTCCAAGATGAATACTGAGCTCTTGCAGAGTACATTAGTTTCATTCCTATTGTAGGCATAATTTCAGTAATATCACATGTACTGGCTTTTTTCCTGATGTAGCTATAAATCAAAAGTGTCACTTGAAATCAGGGTAATTTATCTTTACAAAAATTCACAGTTTAGCCAGGCACAGTGGTGCATACCCGTGTAACTCCAGCAACTTGGGAGGTTGAGGCAGGAGGATAATAGGTTCAAGACCAACCTGGGCAACTTAGCAAGATCCTCTCTCAAAACAAAACAAAACAAACAAACAAACAAAAAATAGAAAGGGCTGGGTTATCTCAGTGGTAGAATTCCCCCAGGTTCAATCCCAGTACCACATGCACACACAAAAAATTTATAGTTTAATGCAGTAACCTTCAAATTTTTGATGATGTACTTTAATTCTTCAAGTAACAAATGTTGACCACATACCCCAAAATATGATTTTTTTAAAAAAAAATTGTAGATGGACAGACTGCCTTTATTTTATTTATTTTTATTTTTATGTGGTGCTGGGGATCAAATCCAGTGCCTCACACACTCTAGGCAAGTACTCTGCCAGCAAGCTATAGCCCCAGCTCCTCACATATATGTTTGTTTGTTTATTTATTTATTTTAATTTGGAGGGAGTACTGGGAATTGAACCTAGGTGTGCTTAGCCATTGAGCCACATCCCCAGCCATTTTAAAAAATTTGCATTTTGAGACAGTTTTTCAGTAAGTTGCTTAGGGTCTCACTAAGTTGTTGAAGCTGGCCTTGAACTTGCAATCCTCCTGCCTCAGCCCTGAGTTACTAGGATTTCAGGAAAAGAGGAACACCAATATTTTGCTCCTACTCCTGTCTTCTCAGAGCCACAACCACCTCCTCTCCCATCCTCACACTGTCAGATAATCCTGCTTCCAACTTCATTGTAAAAGCTGAAGCAATAGAAGACAACCTCCCCAGTCTCACCAGCACATTTACCCACTTATTCCCTTCTGCACCACTTACTATATCCTGATCCTGTAATCATAAACCAACTCCTCAATTGGTGCACCAGATGTAAGGTAGTTGTACAATTTATTGTCCAAGCCACTACACATTTGTTTTTTTTTTTTTGGGGGGGGGGTGACCAGGGATTGAACCCAGGGTGCTTAGCCACTGAACTTCATCCCCGGCCCTTTTAAAAATATTTTACTTAGAGGCAGGGTCTTGCTGAGTTACTTAGGGCCTCACTAAGTTGCTGAGGCTGGCTTTGAATTTGTAATCCTCCTGTCTCAGCCTCCTGAGCTACTTGGATTACAGGCATGTGCCACTGCACCTGTCCCAAACTGGTACTAAATGAATAAGTCACCAGAACAATAAGCAAGAATTGAAACCATCTGAAGGTAACCAGATTCCTTCCTCCCTCATCTGCTTGAAGACATTGCTTCAGGAGTTCTCTATCTCCAACATGGTCAACTTTTTGCTTTCCATAGGATTATTCCCAACAGAATCAAACCTGCTGTTATCTCTCTCGTTTTCAGAACAAAACTTCTTTGACCCCATTTCTCTTTCCAGTTACTGCACCATTTATTTGTTCCTTTTTGTGGAAAGACATTTAAAAAAGTTGTCTCTACTTAGTCTTCTCTCCTCCTTTTGCAAACCATCTATTTACCAATGAATCTGAATTTCAGCCTAGAACTTTCTCCAAAATCCCAGATTTATTTATATTCACATTTCTACTTGAATATCCAATAGACACCTTAAACTCTGCATGTCAAAATCTGCATACTGCCAGGCATGGTGGCACATGCCTGTAATCTTAGTGGCTTGGGAGGCTGAAGCAGGAGGATCAAAAGTTCAAAGCCAGCCTCAGCAAAAGTGAGGTGCTAAGCAACTCAGTGAGACCCTGTCTCAATAAAATACAAAATAGGGCTGGGGATGTGG